TTAATTTGCATTTCCCTGATTATTAGTGATGTTGAACATCTTTTGAGATGTTTCATAGCCATAGATATTTTTTAAAAAATTGTTGTCCAATGACATTTTTGCTCCTCATTTATTACCTTTCTTGAAAAGCTAATTTGCTAAAAAATGTTTATTTTAATTCACGTCTTTGTTTTCCATTGTTTCTGGATTACCTTCCAAATTAGATTCAACTTACAATAAGCATTTTCACTTATTTTCTGGCTCATTTTTTATTTGATAGAACAAGCCACATCTTTCTCTTAGGGCCTACTTTCTCTTCCCAACAATATGGCTGGTCCTCAGTGCTTTCTCTTTCTTCAGTTCCCATGGTAATTACCTGCTTTAATCAATTAAGCACTTATGTGCTTCTTGGTATTATTGGATTTTATTCATTTTTCTAATCAGTTATTCCCTTAGCTTTCTTAATGTAGGAACAATGTTTAACTTCTTTCTCTTCCTTGATAGTTTAGCCTCATGTGCAGATGGTGTTAAATAAATACTAGTCACATTTATTTATTTATGGTTCTTTTAACAAATTATTATTGGATGTTCAGTGAAAACCAGTACGGGCCTTGCTTTCATGGGGCTTACAATTTATTTGGAAAGATATTACACAAATAAAGTAAAAATTAGATGATTGACAGTCCCATGTATTAGTAATGTTCTCTCTCTCTCTCTCTCTCTCTCTCTCTCTCTCTCTCTCTCCATGTATGTATAACAAGATTCATGTCACTCATGTAGGCCTCATACTCCCTAAGTGGAGGATAACTTTGAACCTTCTGATCCTTCTGCCTCTATCACCCAAGTACTGGGATTACAGACTTTCATCATCACGCTTGGATTGAAATTGTTAACAAGTACCTATCATTGGCCAGGCATTGTGTATAACACAAAGCCCATAGGTTACTGGTGGAGAATTACATATAAACCATTAATCTCCATGCTACAGATGCAAACAACATACCCTAGAAGCACACAGGAGGATCCCTTCCAGGGACAATCAGGTACTTCCATGGGATTTTGAAAGTGAATTTTAACATTGCACTGGACAATGAAGGTTCTTCTTGGAAATCTGACAAGCTCGTTATGTTATCAGTGTTCTGACCAGAATTCTAACACAAACCCAGGAATCAGGGGATATGGAAACAGTGGCTAAGTAGAGGAAGGTGGACCTCCTTGTTTATTGCCCAGGTGAATGCCTAGGTCTTGGTTGCTGTGCTTCATCTAGGCCCTTCCCTGCTCTGATACCTTAGCATGAGGAAATGGGCTCAGAGGCAGCCTCTAGTTGCCCTTATTGACTTGTTCATCCCCCAGAAAAAAATGAAAACGAACCATATCCTCTAGGAATCATTAGATGGTTACGTTGGAAAGGACACTAAATATCACCTTTTTTTCTTGTCTTCCTTAATCTTAGAGATTCTCAAAGTGGCAAATCGAAAGCTTTAATCAAGTTCACTATTCAAAATACGGCAACCAGAGATTTTATTAAACGCCATGTTTCCTTGTCTTATGCTGCAATTATATCATATCCTCATCAAACAGGTTTTGATTGGAGGAGTTTTCTGATAATCACTGACTTGAATTTCTTGCTCACAACAACGTGGAATCCCTTAATTATCAGCAAGGTCAGGGGATAACTTAGTCCACTCACAACTGTTTCCAGAATACAGCGATTCCCAAGATCCAGAAGCACCTGCCATCCTATTGGGCAACATCACCAATGCCTCAGAAGACCTAAGGGTTGAACCTTATTACGTCCAGACCCACGCACGCATGCGCGCGCCCTAGCACACGCCACACACCTAACCCGCGCAGGCGCAACTCCTTCACCCTGGAGTGTACAGCCGGGGCCACCCGCTAGCGTCAGCCTAGAGCACGCCTGCGCAGTTGCTTTCCGGCGCAGTTCTTCAAACCAATTCCCCCACTACTTCCCACTCTCTTTTACTCTTTGACGCCATTAATACGGCCTGCCCTTCTCTACGTCAGGAACAGAAAACAGCTTTCCACACTCAGTTCGGACGGCGGACCTCCCGAGGGCTAGGGTGTCGCAGCAGCGTGCGAAGTCGCGCCCCGAGCCCCGCCCCTTCCGCCGCTCGTGCGCGCGCACGGCCGCCACGGCGCGCCCCGGTTGGCTGCGGCGGGGCCGCGGCGGCGGCCTCCACGGTGCTGGTGGCTTCTGTGCTTTACTTCCCTCCGCCCCCTACCGTCGGATGCGGTGGAGCGGTTACCGTGAGGAGCCCAACTTTATTGTTCCCCAACCCCTCCGGCGGGCACACGTCCTCAGGATGCTCGGGGGTTGATCGACCGGCGGCGGCGGAGGGTCGCAGTCGCGGACCCTCTCCTCCGAGCCGGGCCGTGGGGAGGGGAGGGAGTCACGATGTCCGGTAGCCGCCCGGCCGGCTCGGGCTCCGCTGGGACGAGCCCCGGCTCCTCGGCGGCCTCCTCGGTGACTTCCGCTTCCTCGTCCTTATCCTCGTCCCCGTCGCCCCCTTCCGTGGCGGCCTCGGCGGCCGCGCTGGTGTCCGGCGGAACGGCCCCGGCCTCGGGCTCTGGAGGCCTCGGGGGCCCCGGGCGGCCTGTGCAGGTGGCGGCCGCGGTGTCGGGCAGTGGCGGCGCGGGCGGCGGCGCGGTGTCCGCCGGCCTCTCCCGGCTTAGCTGCGCGGCCAGGCCCAGCGCCGGCGTAGGAGGGAGCAGCTCCAGTCTCGGCAGCGGCAGCAGGAAGCGACCTCTGCTCGCCCCCCTCTGCAACGGGCTCCTCAACTCCTACGAGGACAAAAGCAACGACTTCGTCTGGTGGGTTTGAAGAGCAGCCCCCCAGGTTTATGCTGCTCTGGTCGCGCGGTCCTGTGGGGAGAGAGACCGGCTGGTACTGGGGTGCTTTTGGCGTTTGCAGAGTTGAGGCTCTTGGTTGGGGAGGGGGCGGTGGACGGGGATCTCGAGGCAGTGTGGGGAAATTGGGAATAATAAAAGCAGTAAGTGCTGCGTGCTGCTGTGCAGGAAGTGAAGTTCAGGGGATGGTACCTAAGGGTGGAGGTCCAATAAATGGTTCGTTAGAAAAGGAGAAAATGTGTAAGGAAGTTGAATCTTGAATTTTTTTTGGGGGGGCTGTCTGGTGGATTAGGCGTCTCATCTGTCTAGAGTACTTGTACACATAAATTAGATGTATAAAAGACTTCCCATGATTCTGCAGTTTCTGGTCAACTCCCTATTTTAAATCTAGTAGAATGATGCTCTAAACATATATGTGGATGTTTTGGGACATGATCTTTAAGAACTTCCAACTCGGAATTGGGAATGTGTAAATCCTTCCCATTTTAAAGGATAGGACACTTGTAAATCTGCTGTTGATAATAATGAGTCAAAGCTTGTTCACGAAAAATGTTGTTTCAACTGAATAAATTGGAAGACCGGAACGCATTTATTATAGTGTCCTGTGTCGGATATAACTATTTTAGCACTGTGTAACATACTGGAATTTCGGACGGGAATGCTTGTATCCTAAATGAGACACAGTATCAGTCGTTTCTGTCAGGGGTACTTGCTACATTGAGTGAAAGGTGGAATTGATTGTCTTGAAGAGTGGGGTTTTATTGTGTTTTAGATCTATTTGTAGGATAATTAAAGATTAATTTTAACTGCTTAAGCACTGTTAGAATTCTGGGCCTTCTCTTTTGAGGAACTTTTAGAATATTAGTGATGTAGGAAGTTGGCTTGTACAGTTATTCCTGGAGAAATTGATTCACTTCAGAGTTGAAGATGGTCTTAGTTGGTGTTACTAAATATGATAGGACTAGAAACTGTCATTGTTGGGAACGTTATTGGTTACATTTACTTTTTCTAGTTCCTGCAGGAAAATGGTGGTGTCTGTATTTTTATTTCTGCCTTTGTTTGGATTCAGAAATAACTTTTTTTTAAATTGAAACTGAACTGTAAACAGTTTGCAATTTAGGTGTTTGTATTCTGTTCAATCAGTAGCACCACATGATTAGGTAGAAGCTTCTAAGACAAACAGGGAGCTTGTAGAATTTAGTTTTTAGCCATTATTTGCATTTAAGTTTTCAAAACTAGAAGAAAACAAAAGTGCTAGCTTCCTGGGGCATTGATTGTCTTGAAGAGTGTTTGGGGTTTCATTGTGTTTTAGATAGTGTAACAGGTGTGAGAAATCAATACCAGTCACTCAGTCAACAGATAGCTTAGGCCCCATCTGTCTGAGTGAATAAGGTATGGTATAGGAATTGGAGATGAATGAGGAGCTGTGACACCAGGTTTGTTTTTAGGAATGCCCTGGTTTCATTTCTGTTGTGATAAATACCCTAACTAAAAGCACCTTGAAGAAGAAAGGGTTATTTGGCTCACTGTCCATTTTTTCAGGGTGGTAGAGGTAGGTACTTAAAGCACCACATCCAAGAGCACAGAGAAAAGGAATGTACCTATTGGGCTTGCTTACTCGCCACTCAGCTACTTTTCTCTGCTTTTGCACAGTCAAGGTCCCAAACCAGGGAATGGTGCTGCACACAGTGGGTTGGGTAAGCTACTTCAATTAACAATGAAGACAGTCCCCCAAAGGCATGCCTATAGGCCAGCCGGATCCAGACTCCAGATGACTCTAGATTGTGTCAAGTTGACAATTAAAACCAATCAACACTTTAACTAATCAACACAAGGACTGAGATTAAATTCTTATTAATTCAACACTTGGTTGTTTAAAAAAATTCAGCCTAGGTTCTCTTAACCGTGTCATATTGGCATTATATTTTATATTCTAGTGTGAAAATGTTCAATGACAAATTTTAATTTAAAATTCTGAATATGTCACTTTGTAAGACTTTCAGTCCCTTATTGCTTTTTCTGATGAGATTAATCAATGAGTGTATTTTTCACTTCAGAAAACTAGGTTGTTTTGATAAAACTCTTGGGCTAGGATATGGATTAGGCAACATCCCAGCAACGCTTTTTATTCCTAATTGGTCTCTGGATAGTTTGATTTTGTTTTCTATACGTCAGTGCCAGAATGTGAACCAATTAAAATTATTCTATGCTTTTATAGCTAAATGAAGTTGAAGTTCAGATAATGGTAATGTGGGTAGCACATTTTAAAGATATGCTTCAATTTCACATTTCATTTTATCCTCACAGCAGTTCTGAGAAGTAGAATTAATATAATACCGATATAAAGATTTTCTGTGCAGGCACACAGACGCTGTTTCAGATTGGACAAAATGAGACTCAGATCTCAGTTCTCTAGATTCTCAATTTAGTACTTTCCTTGTCTATTTGAATGTGCTTAGCAGTTCTTAAATGGATCTGATTGGAGGGAAGCAGCTATTTCATTCATAATGCTTTTTATTCTTAATACTTCTTGCCCTTCCTGCCTATATCTTAGACAATTCAGTATTGGAGGCTGGGGTGGGTAGGAGGCAGAAGTGGTAAGGGCATGCCCCCTCAATTCCTTGAGAACAGTTATATCAGTAAAGTCACATACCTAATTTCAGAAACACATAGTAGCCACTGTTAGCTTTATTGTATTTAAAAATAAGCTTATAGTAGCCGGGCATGGTGGCACATGCTTGTAGTCCCAGCACTTGGGAGGCAGAGGCAGGCAGATCTCTGTGAGTTCAAGGCCAGCCTGGTCTACATAGTGAGCTCCAGGCCAGCTGGGGCTACAGGGGAACCCTGTTTCAAAAAGACCAAAATAATAATAATAATAATAATAATAATAATAATAATAAGCTTATGCTTAATTGCAGAGTTAACATTTTAGATATTTATATTTTGTATTTTCATTTTTCTGACAAAAGATGGAAAGTATTAAGTTGTAGGCAGTTTTCACAGAATAGCAGGATGGAAAATCTAGGGGACATGAGAAGGAAATAAAGCTCCCCTCACCCTGGGATCTAGGTTGCCTTCCCTGTTGACTGAGAACCAAGAAACTTCAACAAACTTAGGAAGCCAAAATTGCCTACAGAAATGTGATTTCCTAAAGGTATTTAAAGCAAGGATGTTAAAAACAGCAAATGAACTGTTTACTTAGGGCCAAATGAAATCATGAATTTTACCATAGTAGCTTCCCTTTCATTCCTAAATCTAAACAGTGCATCTCAAAAAATCACCATACAGTTCCATTTACAAAAGGGGAAGCTTTGCTTAATCTTTAAACCTTATGTTACATCCTTTGAAGAATATAACATGGAAAGCTACAGAATCACATATGTAGCCTCTGTAATTGCATATGTAAGTGAGAAGACTGCATCCATGTCTTAGGATTGTATATTATCCTTTTCCTGCACGGCCCTCTCTGTGAATCCTTGGTAAACTCCTTAACTCTGGCTTTCCCTGAAATGACTTGTGATTCTTTTCTGTAGCTGCGGAATCAAGGATCTGCCTTTACCTGAGTGGAGGTCCCTAAGAGGAGGGAACGCAGGCTGCTGGTGGCAGTGTTGGGCTATGTCTCAATGCTGCCACCACCACTTTAGTAGTATTTGTTTAGAAGTTCTTTTGTAGTTATTCTACTGTCTTTATTTATTGGCTGTTTTTCCTCTTGTTTTTGGGTTATATTTTTCTGTGGGTGCCTAGTATGCATGAGGCCCTAGGTTCAATCTTTAGCATAATTTTTTGTTGTTCCTTTTTCCAAGAGAAGGTCTCACTAGGTGTAGCTCTGCCTGGCCTGGAACTTGCTATGCAGACCAGGCTGGCCTCAAATTCAGAGATCCACCTGCTTCTGCCTCCTAAGTGCTGGAACTAAAGGCATGTACCACCACCCCTGGACTGTTCTGGATTCTCTTTAATAGATGCTGTATCACTAAAGTATTGACAAAAGTTAATTTGGGGAATGGCAAAATGGCTTAGACTGGTAAAAGCATTTGCTGCGCAAGCCTGAAAACTTGATTTTGGTCCGTGGAACCCACAGTAGAATGAGAGTACCAACTCCTAAAAATTGTTCTCTGACCTACCCATGTTCAACGTGACACACTCACACATACACGCAAAGTAAATGAAAATGAAAAAAGTTAAAAAGTAAATGTTGCAGTGTTCAAACCTGTAACCCCAGC